AAAAAAAAAAAAAAAAACTTCCTTGATGCAGCATGCCAGACCAAAGACCGAGTCATGACGGAGTCTGAGTTCAAGGCTTGGGCGGTGGGCCATTGTGGCTGCGACAAAATCTTCTCTGGCCGAGTTGAAAAAAAGTCTTTCCGCTTAGAGATGAGACCAGCAGCAGCGTGCAATAGTGGACCCAGTGTGCGGTTTCCATCTTCCTAAACTTACCAAAGGGCGAGCTGCCTGCTGGAAGGGTTGTCGGCTACGCGCCTCTACTCCTACCCACGATATCATGTTTTCACCCTGGGCGACCCCAGCAGTGCTACGGCAGCGTCTTTGGCCATAACCTGGTCTGCGAACAGGGCACTTCGTTGTCAAATTCGTCCTCCCTGCTTGGAGCAGACATGTCAAGAGATATAAGCGCACCGCTCAAGCAAGCCCAACCCAATCTCCCTTTTCAAGTCCAGAAAACCGGGTTGGATTTGCCAAGAAACTCCCTAAAAGTGATAACAGCCTTATTCAACAGTGAGGCCATATTGGATTGACGGGGTTTCTTTGTGCATTCCTTCATAAGCTTTTGGGGGATTTATTTGGCATTCGCCCAACGTCCCAGAAGAAAAATGTTTAAGCATGTTCAAAAAAGGTCGTGGTTAAATAAGCCTTTGTTGAAACTGGCCTGTACCCGCGTTATGTTTTTGCCGGTTAACCTCTTGATATGTACAAGTATGTGGGGTTTAACCATGTTTAGCTCGACCCTGATGCCCAGAGTGCAGTCTACATCCGCTTCAGTTCCTTCGAGTGAGGTGGCAGGGGGAAAAACTTCAGCCCTCTGAGCTGTTTATGCTCCAGTATGATGTTCCAAACCTTACTTGCTATGAGGAGCGTGTTTGGATTTTGGTTGTTGGACCCTGATCATTGCCAGAAGCTCAACATTGAGTTTGTCTAGAGATGGCAAGCGCCAGGAACGGCACAGGAGATTGAAAACTGAAAGCCCGCAGCGCTAGCTCCAAGCTCAGTCTGTGAAATCGGAGTTTCCACATCTTTGACTTCCACGAAAGCTTTTCCGTATGCGGGCCAATTCAATCCTTGCCTTGATGTACAGATTTAGCACATATGCCACTCAGTCTGGTAAAAAGCGAGGGCTGCTAGCGCAGTGCTTCTGTACTACCGCCCTGTCTTGTGGCGAGGACATGCCAGCGCACAGATGCGGCATGATGCCCCCAGCATATCTCAAGCTACCATCACCCGCGAGAAGGAGTGCTCCTGCGGGGTGCAACAAGCGTAAAGCAGGGACTGCAGCAAAACCTACAAAGTTGTCGTGGTTGGCACGTTGCAGCACTTCGACACGGTGAGAGGTGAAGCAGCAGCTCCATCCCGACCACTCCAACGCCACCTGCGATACCCCTACCATCTGCTGGCATTGTACGTCAGCACGTTTACCAAAAAGTATGTGTTCCTGTGGCTAGACGAAAAACCGTCCGGCAGCGCCAGCCTCAGCACGGCAGGTAGCTTGTTTGATTGCTGGATTTTTTTTAAAGCCCTCGCTGCAAAGTACTCTCTGGTTCATGGCGCAAACACCTCCAACATCTTTCAGCACACCGCGCGGCAGTGATTCACGGGTGTTGGCACAGTCGTTCACCATGAGTCGAAAAACGGAGGGTCAGAGTCGGGAAGAAAGAGGGCTAGAGCAGGCAAAAAAGGGGGGTCGAGTCGGAAAGGACCGAAGACCAGAGTCGGGAAACATACGTCATGTAAATTTGCATGATGTTTCCTACCCCAATATCGTGTTGGTAGATGTCGCGAAGACCTAGGATCCGACATCGAGCTTTCCGAATCGGTGATTTCAGTTGCCACGTAGCTTTTGGAGCTCCAATATATTGAAAGCTGTCTTTGCGTGCGTTTGACTGCAAGGTGGTGCAACACATACTCCGTAGACCCTACTGAACTTCTGTAAGGCCTTAGCTTTTGGCGGGCTCCTCATCCCTAGACCTGTATATCTCAAAATGGAACAGCAATGTGAACTTCTGTAAGGCCTTAGCTTTTGGAGGAGGCCCCGACGAATCTTACCCCCAGTTGAATCCAATTACTTTGACCTAAAACGAGATTAGCCCCCCCCCCACCGTCCCAAAGCGATTATAGCTTCTCATGCGGTGATTTTAGTTTCCGCATCAGTGCTTTTACTTTCCGAATCGGTAATTTTAGTCTCCCTGTAGCTTTTGGAGCCCCAATATTCTGAAAGCTATCTTTGCGCTGTCAGGTAGTGCAACACATACTCTGTAGCCATAGGCCCTACAACCTGGACCCCCAAAAGCGTGGTCTGAGTGTTTCAGGGTTAAGGGCATCAGGGTTCTAGGGTTGACATAGGGTCTAGGGCTCAGCGTGCATGGTTTGTGAGTTTCAGGGATGTAGTTTCTGTGCAAAAAATCAGCATGTAAATTTATATCCTGTTTTGCATGCTCGACGACTAACAGCATAGTTCCATGGTTCCCGAATCCCTCCTTTATGGTTCTGACTCCTGCCCTGCATATTTGCCGACTCTCGCCCTCGTGTTTCTTGACTCCCAGGCCCTGACTTCCTTTCATAATGAATGACTTCGACAGAGCCCAGTGTTTCACAGTGTCGTGGGTTCAACAAGGTGCTTGATGCCTTGCTGATGCCTGAATGCACATGGAAGCCAAACAAATGCGCCCACATGTTTGATGAGGTTGCCAAAAGCAGAGATTGCCATGCAAGCATCTACAGCCCCCCTTTTGTCAGTCTCTTTCAAGCGTGACTTAGCCCTCTTGCAGCCCAGGACAAATAGTCAGAAGATTTCGGCATCCTGCTGTTTGCAAATCCGCTTGGACCATCTAACACACGCAGGAAGCTTGGAACCTTTGTATTGTCTGCGCGAGTCGGTTGCAGCGCAACCTCTCCAAAGACTGTATGCCACAAGCCTCGCATCACAGACGTCCACGTGCGGCCCTTGCATTCGTCTGAAGTCGCCAAAGAAACATTGATGGCGCGCGCCTGCTCCAGTGACTTAGATACGCGGGCAGCGCTGGCAAGAAAACGAGGCGCGTCATATCCGGCAGCATGACCGTTTATGCCAAGGGTTGTCAGCATGACCCGCTGGCAGGGATCAAGCACCCTTGGAGTTGTACGTGAATGACCGAGCGCCAGAAACTCCACAGAAAGTGATCTCTTTGCAAGACTCTTGAAAGCCATGCTGTAGAGATGCTGCTCGTATTCGTTAGGTGGAATCGACGGCAAATATGCGAGAAACTCCGCCCCATCAGCTGCATGCCTGAGCATATGCTGCAAGATTACCTCACCCGGGCAGTCCGGGCGAGTATCTGGGAGAGGCTTGCCATCTGCCTGCGCGCACCTATCTCTGAAAGCTGCTGTGGACAGCATGTTTGGCAATGATGTTCGAGGATCACAAACGTCGTACAGAAATATTGTTGCGACAAGCTCATGAGGGATAAGCTCAGCAAGCCACGACCCGTCTTGAACGCCGCATTCGCAAATCACAATAGCTGCCTGGCTGGTCTGCCTGCCCGCTGGCTTTGCCTCCTCTTGGAAGGCTGCCGGCTGGGTAGAAACGAAGATCTCCTGCCAGGGGAAGGCAGTGACCCGGAGTCAAACTGAACCAACCTGGAACCACACAAGTTGTGTCCTCGAATTGTCGAGCAGCAATGTCCAGTGGCCATGTGTTTCCAAGGGCTTCCAGCACTTCCCGAGGCACGCTTCGAGTTTGTGCCATAGCATGGGCCATTAATGCAGCTGATTCGCCTGACCTGGAAGGCCCATCCAAGAAGAGCAATGCCTCGGCGTACAGCATGGCTGCCTCAGCATCTGGACACTTCTACAATGCTCTGTCAATGACATTCCGCATGCCATGTCATTGAAGGGCCTTCTCTATCCTGTCTCCTGAACCTTGGACCCTTCTGAGTGCTGGCACAAATCGTTCTGCGCCCCAGCGCATGACGGCGCATTTTTGTGCTTGGTGCTGCTCTATGAATTTCTAATTCGGCCTGCAACCCCTTCAGGTCAAGCTTCTATGCATGAAAAAAGCCCTTAACATTGGTGAAAAGGAGGTTGGCTTTTCTCAGGAAATAACACACGTGCGAGACCAAGTGCGCCCGGCGCCCTATAATGTTGAGCCCTCTATATCATGGGTCTTGAAGTATAGGGTTTTTTTTGACCTGGAGGCGCGGGACGCCGCGGGCCACGGGACGCGGGCCGCGGGCCGCAGGCCGCGGGCCGCGAGACGCAGGTCGGGCGCGGGCTGCCCTAAACCCGCAGAACACTAAACCCCAAAAGCCCTAAACACAAACCCTAAAAACTCTTAAAACCCCTAAACCCTGAAGACCTAAAACCAGTATACTGGCCCTAGACCCGAAAAGCCATAGAAGCGTTAAACAATAAACAACCTTAAAAACGCTTAACACGCCTAACCCTAAAAATCTTAGAGCCTTAAAGCCCCTCACCCTGAAACCCCAAGCCCCATGAACCCTTTTATAAAACCCTAAGCCTTAAGAACGCTAAACACCTGAAACCCCAAAAAAAACACTCGCCCTGAAACTCAAAACCCCCTAAACCACATGAACCCTTATAACACCCTAAACCCTAAAACCGCAAGCCTCAAAACTATAAACACCCAAACCCTAAAAAGCCCTAAGCCCCAAATACTCTAAAACCCCAAACCCTGACAACCTCAAGTCCCTGAACACCCTAGACCCGAAAAACCTTAAACAACGAAAACCTAAAGCCCATAAACACCCTGGCCCTAGACCCTAAAAGCCCTAGAAGCCCTAAACCCTAAACACACACTAAACACCCCTAAACCTAAACACTAAACCCTCAAAATCCTAAACACCAAAAACGTTGAAAAAACACACCGTGAAACCCTATACCCCCTAAACCCTATAAACCCTTCTACAGCAGCCTAGACCCGTAAAGACCTAAACACACGAAACCCTAGCAAGCCGAAACCCTTAAACAAACCGTCACCCTGAAACTCAAAACCCTCTAAAGCCTATAAACCCTCATAACACCCTGAACCCGGAAAAACGAAAGCCCTAAAAACCCTAGACTTTCCAAACCCTAACAACCCTAAACCTTAAAACACCTAAAAATACCAAACCCTGAAAACCTAACGTCCCCAAACAACCTCTCTCTCTCTCTCACAGCGACTCGGTCAACGTCAGCGCCGAACGTGCTCCCTAAACATCCTAGACCCAAACAACTCTAAAAACCTTAAACCCTGAAACCCTAAAAACCACTAAATTCCCTAGGCCCTAAAAGCCCTCAACCCTAAAAATTCTAGATTCCAAAAATCCAAAACCTAAACACCCCTAACCCCCAGCAAGGAAAAATTAAAAACCCGAAGCACCGCACATCCGTAAAGCCCTCACGCGAAAACCCTAAGCCCCCTACGCAAGCCCCAAAGCGCTTTATAACACCCCAAACCCCAAAGCCTAAACACCCTAAACCCTCAAAACCTTGAACCTTGACAACATAGCTGCTGAAACCTGGGTTTCTGGAACTTGCGGAAACCTAGCGACCTAGGGGCCTGAAGGGCAG